TACGATGATGTCCCATGATCTTCACTTCTAGTTTAGATTTATTACAAAATTCTTAAATCTTTTTTTCTACCAAAAATGTAGTGTTTATTTTATCTTTCAATGGTTGAACAACTAAGTCTAAATGGCATTGGTGCAGTATGTAAAAAGGGCAATCAAGTCCACAAGAAGTTGGTGCAGCGTTGCCTAGCCTTGGGGAACATAATTATATATAGGACAGGGTCATCAACGGTTTTAACCAAGGTCCTTTTTGTTGAGAAGTGTTCCACTTCCACACATCTCTTCTCCTCCATTTACCTTCTCTCTGCTTCGCATCAAGTCACACAATTCTTGCAGTGCTCCAGATTTAGAATACTATGCAGCAGTGACCAAGCCATTGGGTAGGTGTGGGCATGGTCCATTGGGTAGGTGTGGGCAATGCCAGTGGCAGCATGCCCGTTGTGGTCATCCACTAAACTGGGAAGCAAGTCTTCATCTCATGCTGATTGTGTTTGTGTATCCATGTTTGGCAGTGGTCCAATTTTCTGCTTTTGGATTTTGCTTCTCTTAGGTTGGGAGATGCTAGCTTCTTATTGGATGGCACTCCAAATTGTTTTGTGGGAGAAGCCCAGTAGGTTGGTGGGTGGGCAACAGAGGGAAAGCTAGACAAAAGCTAGGAAGGAAAAACTCTTGGCTTCTTTCTTGATGGCAGCCTCAGGTTCTCTAAAAACCAATAGTAGAAGGCGGCTGTTTGGTCTCTATTTAGCGTTTAGCAAGAGAAACTGAAGCTAGAAGTGGGGCGTAAAAGATTGTCCATAGCACTTAAAAGCTAATTTATTCCATGTACCTTTTAAAACATGCGGTTGAGCCTTATCAAAGAAATGAGCATATTCTTTTGTATGATATACTTGCAATGGACACAGAAAGTATTGATCTTGTACAATATGGCAGTGTTGCATCGTGCATTACCTTGTGCCCTAGAATAAGATAATTAATTTCAATAAATAGAGCCAAGTTAAGGTTATCCTCATCGCATGCTCATTTCCTTCCATCATTGGGTAATATTTACTACCTTACTAGTGTCATGGAAAATAAATCCCTGCAATTGATTACTGATGCTTTATTACCTTACCAGTGTCATGGACAATAAATCCCTGTGATTGATCACTGATGCACTACAGATAATCTGTAGTGCATGACTTATCTATTGCCTGAATAATGTATTTGTCAAATTTAGGCAATTATGCTGGATCATACTAGAAATGGAGGTACAAAGGATAATCCTGTACTTGTTGAAGAAGGCCCATTGTTAGCTGCAACCAAACATCAGAAGGTTGAACTAAAACTGAATTGTGTTCCAGTCCAAACTAACTTGTTCTAATCATGTGATAGTTGACAGCCATTTTTCCTATTTGTTTTTCAGTCCAAGGACAATGTGAAATTAGATGTATTGAAGAATGTCCAAACTGCTTCTAGTGCACAGACAATGTTTTCAGACCCAAAAACTATTCCCTAACATTTAAAACTCAACTGGCTGAAAATGTAGCTCCTGCTTTGGATCGTATTGGTTAGTACCTATTTCCATATTGCATATTTACTAGCAGTAAATTGCACTTTTGAAATACTGCAATTATGGTATTTGACATGTGCAATATCTGTTCTTTGTCACCTGTAAGTTTGAACCTTCTTTACCAATTTAGTATTTGATAAAGCAGGGAAAGCACATGTTCAGAAACCTTGTATGAAGAATAAGGCTCCTTGTTTAGGAAATTATGTTGAAGATCCTAAACTGAGGCGTCGTGTCGATCCAGTATCTGGTACAGCTTGTACTTCAGATGATAATCTTCAGAGAGAAGCCCGAGTGTTACCTTCTAAAGCTGCAACTACACATCAGAATATCCAACTAAATGTGAGTTTTGTATTTTCTGGTTTTTTTTGTTTGAAGTCAATATGCTGGTGCTCTGTCATTGATTATCTCATAGAATAAAAAAAAGAGTTTCTTTTAACTTGTCTTATTGTACAAACACTTGATTTACTTTCACTCTTTGATAGGTTCAATCCAAGAGCAGCTTCTACTTCCAATTTTGCCCTGCATTAGAGGGTTGGACGTTTGTTGACCGGATGAGGTCTAATCCATTTGGTGGAGGCGGTAATGTGAGCAATCAAGAAACTGTTCAAACCAAAAGAAATGACAATATTGAAACTGCAAGCTTGTTTATTAGATTGGATCAATTTTGTATTGTGACATATCTTGTGTTCTCTTTTGTCTCTTTTCTATAACTAATATGGTAGTATTTTTTTATTAGGGCCTTGTCCATATGGAGTCTTTACATTTTACTGATTATTCTGCGACTGCTGAAGATCCAACTGCTGCTATTCCTTTAGCTGCAATCAGCCCTTCTGGAGAACACTAAGATATTGTAAATTGGTATTTTTAGTTTTATCAATTTGGAACAATTGTCTTGTGAGATAACCTGCTAATTTTGCTTTTGGTGCAGCCATGGTAGTGGAAGGACAATTGTTAGTAGTTGGACCTGCTCTCAGTCATGTAGCTAGTACAAGTAGTTGTAGTAGTATCCATACTCTAGTGTACCTTAGTGGTACTAGTGCTGTATATATTGAGAATAAAGGTAATAGAACCATTTCTGTTGTCCCCTTCTTTATACCTCTCAGTCATGTTTGTTTGTGTGCTTGTTTGTTAGGTATTTGGAGAATAGAATAAAATAGTATGAACCTTATTATGTCAATTTTTACTTTATGATTTTCGAACAACTTTATGTTTTTTCCTAATTTTGCAGACACCTACACCTCTTCCATCCCATCGAGGTGAGACTTCTGTTTCTGCAAAAAGTATGGGAAGCAATGGTTAACCAGACGACTCTGAGTCCTTTTCAAACCAAGGTCCTGGGTACTCTTCTAGTGTAAAGTTGGTTGTTCATCGTCCTAGGAGGACAGTGATCCCAAGCAAATACAAGTTGAGCCCTTATATGATGCCTCATTCAAAGATGACAGTGTCAAGGCTTGAAGCTGACGTGTATGCTATTGTTTTGAAGATGGCAGAAACTGAACATTCCGAGTAAGTTTTAAATGTTTACAACCTTCTTAGCATTTTCACCACTGGTGAGTACACTTGAACCAAGTAATTATGAATTGTTTTCATTTGTCTCAGTCTTGCAGTAATCGATTATGGGCAAGTGGTTGTAAAATTAAGTACACTTGCAAGTTCTCTTAAGCCTCAAGAAAAGGTCCATTACTTTGTAGTGAATGCTTTGTGCAGATCGTTATTCCATAGGAAACACCCTAAGAATTCTTACAAGCATTATTTCTTCTCTAAAGTTGATGTAAATGTCATTTATTTATTTTTCTCAATTACAAGTGGTAACTATATCAAATAAAATAATATTGGCCAATCTGTTTTTGTAGGACTATTTTATTGGAAATCACGGTCCTAATAATAGCAAGGAGAAGGAGCTATATGATAATGCAGTGAAATACTTTAAGGGTGCTGGTCGTGCAAAGTCATTAGCATACAGTCAATATGTGAGTAACACATCATTTTTAATTTTTTTAAGCTTTAGCACATATGTTGTGTGTATTGCAGTTGTGCTAATAATCCCTTCTTTTTCATTTTATGTTATTTTGTCAGCTTTATTTTTAATTCTCTTGCATGATCGGTGGTACGTGGTTGTTGTGTATATCACTCGAAGATTGATTGTAATCTTGGATTCCTGTACTCTACAATTTGGAGCAGACTCATATTTCCATAAAGCTGTCCGTGATGAATTTGTAAGTATCAGCAGCACATGAATTCACATCATTTTGTTTAAATGCAATGTGAAATTTTGTTCAAATAAGAAAAAATATATATCTGCACTCTAATTATTTCCTTTATCTGCTTTTAGATACCAAACTTGATCACAATCTGGAGTGAAGTTGTTCAAATTGACTTTAGGTTTCATGGATACGAAGTTATCTATGCAGATGTACCTCAGCAGATTGAGAAGTAGGTGATGTACAGTGTTTTTTTAATTTTTTTTAGATCATATCATTTTGTGTGGTGCTTATAATATTCTGTCTTGTCTTTCTTTTACCTTGTTTCAGCTTTAGCAATGATAGTGGTATCTTTGCGATGAAGAATCTAGAGCTTTGGGAGCTAAATGTCTATTTGATGGATAAGTTTTCTGAAGCTGATATTGGACATCTTCGTATCAAGTACGTCAATGACAAGATTTTCAATGAATACAATAGTTCTGATAATGGTCGATCTAAAGTGATAAAATATGATGCTAAGGTAATACCAATATCACTTTGTGTATTGTTGCATCGTGTACTCAATATCCGTCTGGTTCGTCCGCGTGCATAAGCTGTTGTGCATGTCGTCGTGTCGTGCTCATTATTGTAGTAGCTCCTTGTATAAAAATGCATCACTTCGTTTTGGTACGTACTACGTGTACACGCTAGTGAACACAGCAGCCATACATAGCTCCGCCGCCCGCCGGCCAGGAAACGCGGGCGGCAGCCGGCCGGCGTCCCACCGCGGCAGTTCCGCCGCGGTCCACACCATTCCTATAAACCAACGCGCACGTCACGCCACGGCCGGCGGCGGTCCACTCTCTGTGTCAGCCGGCGAATTTCTGGCGCGTTTCCGCGCCGGCAAGCAAGGAAGCGCTCAAGTCAGAACACTACCACTCCTGCTGCGACCCGAATCAAACAATTATTGGCGGTCCGCGGGCGCATCCACGCCCACGTGCTGGCTGACTCTTGAGGCTAGTGCGCCTGGTCGGCAGTGACGACGGCGCCGACGTGTACACCGGCGGGACACGCACGCACTGATTGACTGACTCACTACTACTACGTAGCTGTCACCGTGCCAAATAATCCAGGGGTGGTAATTCTCAATTCTGATTACACGATGTCCGGCGACGGGATGAACCAACCGCGCGAGTGCCGCCGTGACGACGCGGTCGGAGTTTCCTACACTACACTAAAATTGACTACCCGTCCGCGTCTCAACCAAAACTGCCTCAACTGCTACGCACCGGCAGCGCCAATGGCCAGTAGTTGCCAGTCACAAAAAGACGCGCACGTAGGAGCAAAAGGCACGGGAGACGGCAGACGCGTGTACCAGTCACGTGCGGATCCCATTTGATGCATGATTGGTTTGCCGTGGCCAGTGGCCTGGCCACGAAGATCGCCGCAAAAAGGTCGGGGGGCTGAGAAAGAGGGAGGAGGTCAGGTCGCCGGCGTACGGTACGTACCTTTACAACGGGGTCCGTGGAGTCGTCCAGCACCTGGATCACGAAGCGCGCCGACGGCCACTCCAGCGCACATGCCACCCCGATCGACAGCTTGTACACCTTCCATTCCAGCATAATGCAACCAAAATTAATAAAAATCTTCCATCACTCACCACCAACATGCACGGTCAAAATAATCAATATCTACCCTCTTCTCTTTCTTGCTTGCTCAATTAATCCACTCGGCTGTTGTCCAAAAAAAAAAAATCCACTCTGCTTGCAGCTTGCTACCAGCTCATCATGTCCACTCCACTACGCGTCTACGCCAGCAATGTGCTGGGCTAGCTCATGCTCATGGATCGACCACTCACCTCCCGCTCGTTGTACATGGGGATCTGCACCAGCACCATGGGAGGCCAGACTCCTCGTCTCCGCCGCCGTCGGCGCTGGCGGAGATGGGCTCCCAGCGGTACCGGCGGTGCGGGCCGAGCCGGAACGCGCGGACGACGAGGCAGACGGCGCAGACGAAGAGCTTCTCCACCAGGATCATGACCGTCATCGCCAGCGACAGGAACACCAGGAGCCGCACCGCCGGCACGAGCAGCAGCGCGCGCGCGTGCGCCCACAGGGACGCGCATTGCGCCGCCACGGACGAAGCGGCGTACAGCGGCGCCGGCTTATATAGCTTGGACGGAGGCATATGGCGTGCTAGTGTAGTGGCGGTGGCAACCGAGCCATGATGGGGACGCCAAGGACGGACGACGCTTGCTCATATTAGGCTCTGGCCTCTGAGCCTCCGATCCATGTGTGCACATGCCGCATGCTCTTCTAGGCTGTGTTTTTTTATTCTTCCCCAAAGGAAGATGGACAGGATCCTGCATGCTGCCTATAGGTGGGAAGGTTTCAATGTTTCATCCCGGTTAGAGCTGGTGGTTGGTGAGATGGGTAAGCCGTGAGCGTTAAATCTTTCATGGCCATGGCCATCATGAGCCCATGACCGGGGGGTGACACTGTGAGAGGCGACCTGTGTGAGCTGATGGAGAGGGCGAGCGGAGTGTTGGACGACAGACAGGGAGTGGTGAGTGGTCAGGGTATTTGGGGCCACTTGGTGCTGCATGTATCATTGGTGTAGAAAAAGCGGAAGGGAATGCATGGAGGAGGACAAAGAGGTGCTGAGATGGCAATGGCCAATGGGCAAACGGGCTGCGTGATTCTCCGCATCCAGGTTCGTCTGGCCAGCGCTAGCAGCCGTGTTTGCCCTGTTCTGTTCACAAATATGGAAATTGATTGAGGTTCCAAGGGTTGCCTGCCCTGTTCTAACAAAATTCATAATTTCGATATAGTACAGCTGAAAATAGAATTTCTCCCTCCGAATATTCCGACCGATCGATGGATCCAATCACCGCAGAGGCAGGCAGGCAGGGGCGCACATCATCATCGCTGGGCTATCGCTCTCCAGCAGCCTCCATTCATTTACCGGCAAAGCCGACGTGGATTTCATGTGGGGAATAAGAACAACGCGCCCCGTCACTGCCGGCATTTGTGACCTTTTGGCTGGAAGCCTGGAAGGCAGCCGCTGAGCCGCACGCAGTCCTCCGCAGGCCGCGCCGTACTTCGATTCCTCCAAGCCTGTGCGCCCGTGCCGATCGTGTTCCCCGTTCCATTTGATCATTTCTCCCTGTGTCGCCGGCGGGTATCCGCCACGCGTTCTGTAGTGTGTGCACCCGGCGGCTTCGGCGATAGATTACACAGCTTCGTCCGGCCTCGCCTCATCACGGTTGCCGCCTGCCGATGCGGCGGTGCCCCGCCCCGGCCGGCGGTAGCCGTAACCAAGACGCACGAGCGCGACCTCAGTCACTACCCACGCGCGCATCGGTATACCATGCCGGGTACGCACCACCCGTGCAAGCCACCACCCGTGCAGCCTATGGGCTATGGCACACATCCCCAGTTCACCACGAGTCACCTCCTCCAGGCAAGACACCACCCGTGCAGCCTGTGGAGTGCCCGGACCATCATCGTCGTGATCCTTTTTGCGCCTCCACGCAGTGTGTCCATCCCAGCATCTGCTGCATGAGCGTGACCACCTTGTTCGCATCCCATCACTCCGGCGCCAGGTGGAGCAAGAGCCACCAGGGAAAGGGCGCTCGTGCCGTCGTCGTTCCAGTTGAATAGGCACCCAGATGGAGCCGCTGCCGTGCAAGGTTGCTGCGTTGCCCAGGACCCGGCCAGAGGCAGTGCCTGCAGCAGGAATGGATGGATAAGGGCTTAAGTTAACTGAGCTGCCCTTTTGTGCTAGTTGTATGTTTCATGGTTTGAGATAGGGCGACACGGCACGGACCTTGCCCTTGTCAAGGCGACGTTTGTGCGTCGGCGCTCGGAGAGGAAGCCGATGGATGCTTTGCTGTTGGACCTGACGGTTGAAAGGATGATGATGTCCTCCTCGCTGCCCTGGAACCCGTCGACGGAGTTGACGCGCAGAGCCAGCGGATGCATAGCGTTCACGTCGTTCCCAATGGCACGCTGGATCGCCTCCACCTGCGTGGCGTAAGGGCATATGATGCCCACCGAAACTCCTTGTCGTCCTTGCATTGTCTACTGAAAGCTGTGTATGCGTGGGGGAAAAAATGCCATGATTGAACACCATGATAATTAGACCTGTAACTGTAACGCAAAAGGTTTCAAAAAGGAACAACACTTTAAAATGGAACCAAAAAAAAAGGAAGAAGAAGAGAGGAATCTTGTTTCAGTCTATGCAGTATTTCCACGATGACCTCAACCTCAGCCATATTTCGCTTGCTTCGGCCAGGTTCTTCCCTTCCGTCGATGTTGATGAATGAGTATGGTCCAAACATTGCACCCTCAAGGTAACTACGTTCGTGGCCGCCCTGCGTGACGTTAGGGCCATCCAGGATTTTGCTGCTGTAGAAACTTGTGTTTGGGAAGATGCTTATGTAGGGATGCATTCTGTACTGGATATTCAGAAGGTGCTTCATGTGCCCCTGCAAACTTAACCTCTCAAACATGCACCTGCCCAGCAATGCACTCGCTGCAACCTGAAACAAATAAGATAGCTCAAGCTCAACTGCATTATTCATATGCTCATATTCACAAGTTAAGAAAGAAAAAAGAAAGAGATGTGCAGTCCGCAACTCCACGCGGCACCTCTGAAGAAAAATGTACCTTGCTTTTGACAGTTGCTGGCAGTTGGCGCTCGTCCCCAATAAGAACAGCATGCTTGAACCCATAGAGCTGCAACGCGATCAGGGACTCGCATTCCTTCAGCTGAGCTGCCTCATCGATGAGAAGCAAATCCATTCTCTGCCCTAACATCTTCGCCGATCCTGACACGGTGCAAAAAAACAGGGAGGCGCTTTCAAAGCAGAATTCCTTGATCCGTGCCTCAGAGCGTGTTAGTGGAAGCTTGAGACCTTTGTTAAGAGCTACTGCTCAAGTTTTTTTTTTTTTTTAGAACACGCCGTAGCGCATATTTCATTAAGCAGATAGAGTTTTGAAAACAAGTCATGGTAACGACATGGTTACCAAAACCTAGCACTACTGGATTCACAACCAAAGATTACATTTTAGCAAATTTTGCGACAAAGGGCAAAACGAACTACAACCTCGCCAAGATCAGCCCCAGGCATCTGTTCCCTGCCGAGCACCAGCGCTCGGCCTCCTCCTGCATCGCGAGAACCAGCAGCCCAGGCGTGGATGCAACAGCATTAACGGTGCGGGAGTTCCTTTCTTTCCCCCTAACCCAGGCCAGTAAGATCCCGGCAGCCGCCCCAGTCGCGGGTAGGAAGTCATAATCGAAAGCAGGTCCTAGAATTTCATTCGCAAGCAAATTACGCTGGAGAGTTTGGTCTCCTGGATACACACACACGACGGCTTGTGCAGCAGCAGCAATTCGCGAACCACATTACGACGTGCGCGATCATTGAGACCGCAGACGTTCCAGACGAAGCAACTAAAGGTCGTCGACATTGGATAACCAATTGGGCAACATCCGTGTGTGATGGCAGCGCTCAGAGCGCCGTGTCCTCCAGACCATGGAGGTTTAGGTCCACAGTTATCAGGTCAATTCCATTTTCAAGGAAGAGTTGTAGTGCCTCCCTTTTCCTGGTCGACATATCTCCCCTGAATGCCAGCTTGATCTTCTTCTCAACCTCAGAGGCATGCTCACCCTCCGCCACAGCGACTCCCAGCTTCTTAAGGAGCAGCAGCTGCGCCTGCATCGTTGCATTTGGTGCCCTTGGCCTTGCTGCGATCCTGCCACTCCGTCGCAGCGACGGGATGGAGACCGGCGTTCGCGCCCGCCGAGGCCTAGGTCCCGCGCGGATCAGGGGCATGTGCATGGGGACGCACACCTCCGCCTCCAGCGTAGCCTGTGTAGCGGCTGCCGCATCCATGACAGTGGCCGCATCATTGGCCGCATCCATTACAGAAACAGGTTCCTCCACAGCGCTCTCATCCTCCTCATGAAGTCCAGCCCCATCAACAACTAGGCTGGCCACAACATATGTGGTGGAGACAAGTTCAGCCTCAATCAGGTCCGCCCACCAGTCCACCGAGTTCGAGGTCGACCCGGAAGTGGCCCCCTCCTGACCAACACACGCTTGAGCACTGACATCATTTGAAAGCTCATTCACCGCCAGATCAGCCCACCAGTCCTGATCAACATGTACAGGTTCGAGTGTTGAAACACCCGCGTGGAGGAGCAGTGGCGCGACGTTCAGGAACCACGCCACGACGCCGGTGGTAGGGGAGCCCAGCTGCCTATCAATCCACGGTGATGGAGTGTTGACCGTCGTAAAATTTGATGCCCGCGTCCACTCCCGGTCCGGCTGTCCCCGAGGCCGCACAGGGTGCGACGGCGGGGACCTCCCGCCCCGGACCAGAGCACGCCGCGGCAGTGGGGGTGGCAGATCAGGCACCACGGCCGGGCGGGAACGTCGCGCGGCCGCCATGAATCCCTCCGTGCGGCACTTGCTGTGACGATGACGACGCGCCCGCTGACGCTTACCAGCAGTCTCCATCACACTCTTCCCCTTCCCCTGCGGCGGCGGCGGCGGCGGCGGCGGCGACTCGGGCACATCAGAATCGGGATAGTCCTCCGAGTCACTGAGAGCCACACGCTCCACAGGACCACGGCCGAGGACATCTTCCCACTGCAGGTCGGCAGCCTCCGCCCGAAGCTCGCCCTCCGCCAGATCCGCCCAGGAACGACGCTGGGAGGGGGGCCCCCATCATTCGCCAAGCTTGTTCAACCTCCGGACTCCTCCCTCTCTCTTCTCCCAGATCCCGACGGAGGCGAAGATGGGAGGCAGCACCGAGTGGCGCTCCGGCCGAAGGAGGGAGCGGCCGCCCGGGCGCTCAGCCTGTCTTTATATTGTTTGCTCAAGTTTTTCATTGCATGCCTCTCTCTCATTCCCAGCAATCATCCAATCAATCAACCTGCTGAACCCTTGGAGCATGTCAATCAGCGCAAAAATGTTGATGTAGTTCATCTCCATAATGACGGCTCTGGGGACGTGAAGCGTGATTGTTCTGAAGCAGCTGCTCAGCCTCTGCAAGATCTGATGGAAACGTGACCTCTTATCCGATCTTCATGGAGCCACCATCTCGGTCCACTTAGAAATGCCTCCACCGAACGAAGGCACTGCCTCCAGCCCGTGCCCGGCGAGAAGCAGGCCCTGAGCCTGTTCAGGCGAGTGTCCAGGAAGATGTCGTCCAGATAGCTCCCAGTGGCAATGGACATGCGCTGCCTGTTGCCGAAAAGAAGCAGATCACCGAGGCAGCCTCCGTCGTTGTCGCTGGCGGAGGGGTGCTGCTGCTTCCTCTGCTCGAGGAGGTGGGAGGCGACCTGGCGGATGGCGGTGTTGGTCGGCGCGCACGTCAGGACGCGGCAGCCTCTGCTCTGCTGGCTCATAAGCAAGTAGCAGCACGCTGATGGTCTTGGTCTTGCCTGTGGAAAAAAGGAGTAGCATAGGGACCATCCTTATGCTGCACCGTACGGACGTACACAGAATTCTGACCAGTGAACCTCTTCCTACCGTGCTGCATCGTATGTTGCTCCTAAACCTCTTTCCACGTGGCGCAATGTGACTGGACGTCCGCATTCTGCTGGGTGCGGACGGTCCCTACCTAATTTGTTTCCTGTGCCGGGCGGGCCCCATATGAGGCTGAAATTGCTCTCCCCGGCCCCGCCGCCGGGCTGCGTCGCCGAGATGCAGCTCAGTATGGCTTCGGCCTGCGAGTCGTTGAGCCTGAACGCGGATAGCCTGGTCACCAGCACGTCGGCGGCGACGCGGGCAGCCTCTCGGCTTGGAGTGGAGCCCAGGAACGACGTGGTCTGGCCGGAGATCAATACACGGCCGATAAATTAAATAAAATATGTGGTGAAATGAGAGCAGAATTACGGATTTTTTTAGAAAGACAGTAAGAGTTTTGCCGAATTTTTATTAGACGAGGAAAAAAGAAAGAACAAGTAATTACAACACAGGATTGGAGATTAAACTCCCCGCCAACACTACTACTGCTACCCAACTAGAGGCCCCCATGGGCGACGAACTACAACTCTGAAAACAAGCAGCGAAAAAAAACATGAACAAGCAACCAAGCCCAGGGCAGATGGGCGGGAATGAAAGACTGAAAGAGAAATTTAGACTTGCTGGAGCCCGACATTCGTCCTTGTTGCCAACTGATACCGCTCCAAATCTTCTTTGCACAGCAGTGCTACTTGTCGTGGCTGCAAAGTCTTGTTCTGAAATGTTCGTCTATTGCACTCCTTCTAAACATTCCACCAAAAATATATTATGATTCCATCAAACTTCCTTCTTTGCTCCTTATCAATCTTTGAACGACACTTGCGCCAGTAGCCGTGAAGCGACCCCGTCATTGTCACCGTATCTATGACTGATAATCCCAGCCATTGTTTTAGGATGGACCAGACCTGCTTTGTGAAAATGCAATCCTTGCAGAGGTGTGTTGGGGTTTCTGGGTCTGTACCGCAGAGCTTGCACAATGGGTCGTTTGGCCAGTTGCGTTTGGTCAAATTGTTCGCTGTTAGAATTCTTTTGTGCAGCAGCGTCCAGGCAAAAAAGCGGGCATTTGGGTTCCGCCTTTGCCTTCCAAATTGGTAGTAGCTTCAGCTTGCTAAAGGTTCCTTGGAATTGGATAGCAGAATTACAGATGTATGTAAAAGAAAAATGCAAGATCAGTGCAGAGCACTCACCATGTCATGCGCATCGTCGACGTCGCCGGCGACCAATCTGACAAGCGCAGGTTTCCTCTGCACCGCGGCGGCGTTGTCGAGGCACCGCCAGATGCGCTCGTAGGGTATCAGACTGATCAAACTGACACCAAACGCGTAACACGTCGAGGCTTGCTCAAGTCTCTCAGACGCCACCACCTCGAGCTCGAAGGCCAGCGCACTGTCGTTGACATACCTGACGTGCGCGAGACAGCATGAGCGGCCGTTGCGCGTGAGGTCGGCCGGCCGCCGGCACGGCGACGTCGCGTCCGAGAGAAGGACGACGTCGCCGGTGCACAGGAAATTACAAGCCCCACGGCGGCCGCGGGCGACAGTGAGGCTGTACATGGACGGGGAGGCTTGCACGCCGGATTTGTCCTTCTTTCCGGACGAGAAGGGTTCGTATAGCGTCGATGGGGAAGTGACGGCTGGACGAGAGCGCGTCCACTAAGTTGGCGCTCATTTCCTCTCGCATCTCCTCCAGGAGCGGGAGCCTGAATGCCTCCAGGTAGCCCATCAGCCCGGAGAACCTGTCAGGGATCGTCTTCACCGCCTGAAACATTGGATGATTAGTTTCAAGCAATCAGTGCATGGTACAAGTCCATCCAGAAGTAAAATCAAAGCGATCATGAACAAGGAGTAGCTAGCAGCAGCAACCAACTACAGATGCAAGAGCTAGCAGGATCTCGCAGGATGGAGAAGGAACCTTGTCTGTGAAGAGGTTGTGGTTCATGATATCGTGGAAGGACCAGGAAAAGATGAGCCTGACGAGCTCGCGTCCCGGATCAGGGGAGCTCTCACCCCTCGATGTGTTTCCCTCACACATGATCTGCGTCGAGCCCTTCACTTCACCCATTCTGCGCGAAGTTCTTGGCCATGGCTGTGCATAAGTTTACAGAGCTTGCTGGAGTAAGCGTGGCGCCGGGTCGACTTCCTAGGATACAACAACGGGGCGCTTCTGGTTTCGAGGACGAGGCGGCGGCCGTTCGTCCCCTCGGCTTCCGCTAGTGTTTTACTACTATCGTACGGTGACACTGCTGTGTGCCTCGCGTAGTCAAACAGGCGGCCGTTTGTTATGGCTCCCAGGCAGCTCCCGGAGCTGTTTCTCTGCTCCGTCAACCAAACGGCCAAAAGGCAAAGGGCTCCTCGCGAGGATCCACGGAAAACCCGCTCTCACAGCATCATTTCTGCGCACGGAGCCGGAAATACTAGCTCCACGCTCTCACAGCACCACTTTAGCTAGAGCCGGAGCTCTACCGAACGGGCCTTTAGGCACGATCGGGAAAAAAATTCTATGCACACGTGGTGTACAGCACCCCCGCGTGCGGCACCACTCAGGAGCCGTCCATGTGTTGATGGGCTATGTTGCGTGCCGTGGAAACATTGAGCTGGAAGATGGGCCAAGACCTGCATGTTACATGCAGGGATCAGGACCATCGATGAGGATGAATCAACGGCAACAGAGCCGTGCTGCACGGAAGTAACGTGCATCACGGGTGGATATAATTTTTTTTTCCGCCACGACCCGGTTTGGACATGGAAAAAATTACGCCACCGTGGAGGACACAAACAAATCAGATACGTCCTTAATTTGGGCGAGCCGTGCTTCCAATCCGTGAAGACGAATGGGAACCAAGACATGGACACGCGTCAAGTAACCAAGCCATGTATGCAGGGCACCACGGTGAATACATTTTGCACGTGATTTTTTTCCTTGGGACAAGAGCTCACACGTGAAGTTGTTTTGAAAAAAGGTGAACAGACTATAAGAAGTTGTGCGAGAATTATAGCGTTTGGAAGGATGGGGCCAGCTTTTTTTACCAGAAGATGGGCAAAACCTATCCCAAACAGCAAATAGGGTCATTGTTTCTTCCACCGCCTCTCGCCTTTTCTTCCGGTGCCATGCCACGCCGTCAGTAGCTTGCTTCTGCCACACAACACAATCACCGTTGCTCGAGTACTCGCTTCCTCCACCTCGATGTTTCAGTACTATGATGAAGCTCTACAGATCTTCCCCGAAATAAAATCCGACCAAAATTTGATGTGCATGTTTAGTAAGCACTACAAGAGCAAGGTTATCATCATGTTCATCGTATATCGAGGCCCTTCTGATCCATATGAGCTAGTCATGAAGTGGGATTTTAATGTTGATAGCCAACCCAAAAACAACATAGAGCTTGATGAGAATGATTACCTTAGAAACCCGGCACCACAGAATGAACATGTAGGTGTAGATGAAGAGGCATTGTACTTGGAGACTGTACCACGAAATGCACTACAGGTTGTGAATTATCTAATTGAAAAAGAGAAGAGAGGTGATGAGTCCGAGGATGATAGTGAGGATGATGATGATGAAGAAGAAGTACAGGAGGATGATGAGGTGTCATGTAATGATGGAAATAATGCTTCAAATGCAGAGTATGGCACAGATGATCCACCAATGGTAGTAGGCTCCACTTATTCTAGCATGGATATTTTCGGATTGATTATTTCTTAGCATGCAATCAAACATCAGTTTGAGTTCAATATTGCTAAAAGTGGACCTCAAAGGTTCAAGGCATATTGTTCAAAGAGAGACTTGACAAGTGTCCACGGTGGCTGTATGCATCTACCACTAAGGACAGTGCCACTAAGGGCTAGGTAGTAAGGATGTTAGAACTACAAATATGCCACTTGACAGCCCCTCCATGGCTACAAGAAAAAAAAAAAAATACAACCACCTAGCCCTCTAATGAGCACGTACAAGAAGTAAAAGAAGGCTTAGTTTTTAATTTTAGATATGCATGTTCTCATATTTGATGCCATGTGTGCCAATGTTTGTAAACTTAAACATCTTCTGTATGTGTGCACCTTGTTCATGTATGACCTGAACCTATCTCCTTAATGTTTCATACAGCGATTTGTCATTATTGTGTATGTGTGCACTTGGATTATAATTGTAGATTTTATATGCGTTTTAAATAGTCAGTATGATGCTGTCACATGCAAATATATATTCTACCTCAATTTTATGTACATTATTTCTACCTCAATTTTATTGTGTATGTGTGCACTTGGATTATAACTGTCAATTTTATATGTAATTTAAATAGTCAGTGTGACGCTGTCATGTGCAAATAATGCATTATAAAAAAATTTCTAGCTCAATTTTGGGAAATTGTTGATATAAGCAACCTGAAAGACACATACAGTGCATTAGTAGGTTTGAACTGTTTAATTCGGTGCTAGGGGCAAAATAGTAATTTTGCGTACAACTCAACGTGGTATCCTGTCAAACTAATGGAAGGGCCAAGAAGCCAAATAAAATTTGATTCTGGGCCAAATAGCTAAGTTTGACAAAAAAGGCCAAAAAGCTAAGAGACACTTTTTTTTAAGATCAACGAAATAATTTTCTCTTATTTTATTAGCAAGAGTCGGCTATAAACCTTGTATCGAGTTCTCCCCTCTCTCATGCATGGGCCGCTTCCTCCCGCGGCTGGGTGTATTCGTTCTCGTTCTAGCACGGACGATACATCGCTTTTAGTTTCCCACTAGAGAAGCCTTAAGTTTAAACAATGTGTTTGGAGGAATAGGCATATAATTTTTCGGTGCCGCTCCAGTCGCACCGCCGTCTAGAGCCTCTCTCCTTCATTCTCTCCGGCGAATCTACCGATCTCTCTTTAATAATTTTTGAGATCTAGTTTGTTTTGGGTTTAACCTAAATAAATCTATCGACGGAATCAGATATTTTTTGGTTAAGATCTTATTTAACGTGATGACTTCAGAGATTACCACGACAATGTTGCCGTTGTAGGTCTCAATTTCATCGGTGGGAAGTCAATTTGTGACCCTTATTTGCAATGAGAAGGGTGCTCCTGGGTACATCCCATGACTATGAGGGCAGTAACTCTATATCATCGATCTCATCGGCGATGGTCGCAGAGAGAAAATCAGCGTACATAACCGAATCAAGGGTTGGAGGCGATCAATCTGTAGCCTATGTTATATGCAACGATGCAAATGTTGATGTTCTTTCATCGTTTCAGATGCGTTTTGGAGTTGCATGTCTAATGTTTTGTGGTTGATTGTTGAATTCAGCATAAGAATTTTACTTTGGTTTCAGCGTTCAACAAGACTGTTTTGAATCTAGGATTATCAATAGGGAAGAAAAACAATGGAAGAATCTTAATAAGATATTGTATCTTTGTTTGAAAATTTTCATGTATAGTTTAAGGTATACTATGTCTAGTTTTAAGGGTTTTTTTTTTGCACCACTTCCCGTGTGCAGGTATGCTAAATAGCCATCTAAAAAATGGCTCCTTCCAAGAAGTCTAAAGGAGCTAGAGCTGTTTTTTTACTTATTTCATCCACAAATAAATTAATTCATAGAATCCGTGCAAGTCAAACTATCTTAAGTTTGTAACATTTATGACATAAAATGAGCACATTCTAAAAATATATTCTATGATATATTTAATTATACTAATTTAATATTATAAATCTTGATGGTATTTTTTAGAAATTCGATCAAAATTTTAAAAATTTGACTTAAAGATAACTCTAGAAATCTATTTATCTGGTGCAACTGCAGACCACGTGGCGAGGCATGATGGCCGTGACAGGGCAAGCACTGGCGCAACGCGACGCTGTCTGGCTCGGGTCGCACGGCAAGCACAGGTGTAGCGCGGCACGGCTCAAGGCAGGGCCAACGGAGGCAGACGCTCTATAGTGGTTTCAAGCAAAAGAGGCGCCACGTTGTTGGAGCAGCATACCGAGGCAGGTTCGTCTTCCAACGCGAGCAGTAAAGAGCAGCCTCAAACTTCAACTGTATAGGAGTATGTTACATCGAGACCACATACTCATTTTGCATGCTTGGCTTAGCCTCTGCTGCGAGGCCACTAGCTCAGATAACGTGGATTGCCAGGGCCGAGGTGGAGTCTGGGGCGCCCTCAGGGTGCTCAGCGAGGCACCCTGGCCGCGACGGTAGAGGTAGAGGGAGCGCAAGCACTACACTATGAGTAGACGACAAATATTTTTTTTTTTGAACTTGGCCGATTCATTACTCTTCTGACAAATTGTCAGAAACGATTACAAGAACATCATCAGGGATAGCGCTAGTGATTAGCGCCTCACCTTCGACACACCCATAACCTAGACTCGGCAATACATGGGCAGCCCTGTTCCCAGCTCTACCCAAGAAATTACAAACGAAATCACTGAAATTTAACCTAGAAAAGGACTTCAGCTCCTCAATCAGGCCCCCTTCAGGTCGAACATCGAATCTTTGGGACTGCATAGCCTTCTGAATATCGAGCGCATCTGTCTCAAGGATCAGCTTCCCAATACCCAAACTGCTCGCCACCTGGACACCTTGCAAACAGGCTATCAACTCAGCATGGAAAGCACAAGCACTCAACACGTTATTAATTCTTCCTCGTCCCGACATCACCACATCTCCATCGTCGCCACGAATCAAGAAGCCCCAGGTACCGATCATTGATTCCTGAACGAAGGACGCATCACAGTTTAGTTTTAGAAAGCCCTCTGGTGGTTTTTGCCATCTCGTATTGGTCTCATCGGTCGTGAAGGTCGTTGAGATTGTAAGATTTCATTAGCATATATTAATTGAACGTGCTAACTCCTCGGCTCTCCTCCCTCTTCCTTAGAAACAAGAGGATAAAGACAAATGCAAAAACAATATTTCCTTGCCTTTTCTCTTCTCGGGTATAAGAAAATCATTAAAACAAATGTTACGATATGCTATAACAAATGATCATGATTTTATAATAGTATCTAGCAAATTTTAATGTTAACGTTGAGTCAATTTCACCCTTGTTCAGCCACGAGCAAAATTTGCCTTAATATAATTCTGTAATTCCTCTTCCTTTGGGGAAAAAAATATTTTTTCGATGATACATAGTACAAGCAATTCTCCTTAAAATAACGCGGGCTCGCTTTGGAGTGCCTTTTCACAAAACAACCGGGTACTCGTCTGCTTCGTACGACTTTTGCTTCTCCCATTCACCGCTCGTGCGGCAGTTGGGCGGCCGCTGATCGCCGCCGCCGTGTCCCGTGTCCGTCACAGTTAATCCTCCTCTGTCTCCGGGCTCCTCCTCCCGCGCGTCGCTGCCTCCAAGATCCACCGCCGCCGCCGAGCTCCTTCCCCGCGCGCGGCCGCTGGACTCCTCCCCACGCGTCGCCGACTCCGCGCTTCAAACTCCGTTGCTGGGCTCCTCCCCGCGCGAGCTCCGAGATCCTCCACTCCCGAGCTCTGAGATCCGCCGCCGCCACCGAGCTCCTTCCCCGTGTGCGGCTGCTGGGCTCCTCTCCAGGCGCCGCCAACTACGTGGAATCGGGCTCCTTCCCTTCCCGGCGATGCAGGCAAGGTCCCAGCGGCTTTTCTCCTTCCTCACGCAGCGGACGCCTCCCAAACGCTACGCTTCAACTTCCTTCGTTTCTTGGGAAAAGAAAGCTAGCTTTTGCTGAAATCGAGCTTCGAATCCAAGCGTGGGCAATTTAAGTTGTTCCAAACAGGGCCTTCTCCATTTTGCTTACTAGGCAGTTACTGAGAATCTACGATTTGTCCATTTTGCTTACTACTAGGCAGTTACTGAGAATCTATGATTTGCCCTATCTGCTTTTCGAAGGCTCTTACACCTTCGTGGTTGGTGATTTTCAGGGAGGCTGATACTTCCATGCTGCAGCTGAAGATTTGATCAGCTATTGCCTTCACTGCTGGCCTGTTCTCCTCTGGTGTTACAAGGAAGCCATGGCGGGCCGGGAGGAGAGATATGTGAGGTCAGGATGGTCAGCCTTTCTTATCCCCTTGTTGTGCACGGCATTGAATTTGTTGTGAGAATTGCACTACAGTGACACAAGTTCAGCATGCGTCCAGACTCAAGAATATATTAGTGACTTGGTATCTTAGTTTTGAAAGAAAAACATCAATTCAGTGGAAATGTACGGTACCAGATTCATTCTATGGTGTACAGAAAGTTAACATATCCTAAGAGCCCCTTTGGTGGGTCTCTCCGAAGAGCATCTGCTCTGGCTCCGGTTCTGCCAAGAATGGTAAACAAAACAGCTCCGGCCAGGGAGCCAGCAGAAGCCGCTGGAAAAAATGAACTACACGCATGGTGCTGGAAATTATGGCTTCCAACAGCTCTGTTCGTTTCCCTGCTTCACATGGCACAAATTTTGAAAGTTTGAAAGCAATTTTCTTCCAAAATATGTACTGATTTTAAATCCGTTTTGACCATGATGTTATTTGCACTTAATGCAATAAAACAAGATCAGACATGAATATATTTTGAAATTTTGAAAAAAAACAACATTCTCTACTTCAAAATTAGAACATTGGATTTTTTCTTCTTTTGCTCGGGACATTTTTTCTTTGTTCCCATAATGTTAGTCGCTGAATTCTCACTCTTGATAGTAGGAGAATTCTTACTCTCATCGAGAGAGGATGACACTAGGAGTTGGGGCAATTTTCTTGTCTATTTCTCACACAAACTCACACAAATGCCATGCCAACCTGAGGGGTTGGGGTTACATATTTATAGTCTGCTAGCCAGCCAATCATATGCCAAGATGCTAGTCTAAGATGCTAGTTTAAGATGCTAATATGCTGTCCTAGCTAAGATGCTGTCCTCTAGTCTAAGATGCTGTCCTCTAAGATGCTGTCCTACTGTCCTCTAGTCTAAGATGCTGTCCTAAAAGCAGAAAAACAGCCACAAGGACCATGTGAGCAGTACAGCCCCACAAAGACTACACATGAGACTTATCCATCACATAACACCTTTTGTGCTAACACTTTCTCACAAACGTGGTGCAAAATAGCAGGATATCATAGACATTATACACCTTACATTCATTCTAGAAAATACAAGAGAAGCCGTTCTAGCAAACGTTATCCAAAAAAGAGCTTCAGCTCCACCAGAGAAGGGACTTCTCTGAAGGAGCTAGAGCTGGAGCTTTGGGAGGAATTTGAGCCCTGCCAAACAAGCCCTAAGTACAATTTTTTTCTGTTGTTTCTGTCATGCACAGGTTTCAGGACTGGAAATCAGAGCAATCTGTTTCTGTTATTTCAGATAGGGTAAATTCAGAAAGAGGGCATAACATCTTTGGCTTGTTAAAGGACAGAACTGCAGGAGCCTTTTCATTCCTGGGGAACTCTTCACATTCTGAAGCTCTAAACAAATCTGGCCCAGAGGAAAAGAAGTCCAAAATAAGAGTTCTTGATCCTCAAGGGCCATTTTTGCAGAGATGGAACAAGATATTTGTGATATCATGTCTTTTTGCCGTTTTTGTGGACCCATTGTTCTTGTATATCCCAGTAATTGATGGTGGCAACAACTGCCTGTACTTGGACAAGAAGTTAGAGACCGTAGCAAGTATCCTGCGCTTTTTCACAGATATCTTCTATTTACTCCATATGCTATTTCAGTTCAGAACAGGCTTTATTGCTCCCTCTTCTAGAGTGTTCGGTCGGGGTGTCTTGGTTAAGGACACATTTGCAATAGCAAAGCGATATATGTCAACACTGTTCCTGGTGGATTTCTTAGCAGTTCTGCCCCTCCCTCAGGTACTTGATATGCCATCTACTTAGTGAACATTTCATAATGGAGCTACTTCAATCCGATCACAACTGCTTGTCTTTTTGGAAAAGATACAGTCAAACTTTTGAAACTTAGATTGCCAATAACTTTTATAATATTTAGTTTGAAATCATGGAAATAATTTGTAGATATTATGCCCTAAAAATGCTTAATAATGTCATAAAATTTCTTGCATTTTATGGATACACTCTAATAGAAAATAGTTGTCAACAGTACATATGGGAGACTGTCATCCAAAACGTCAAGTACTTTTCTTGACTGAAGGAGTATCTAATGGCATACAGTTATTATGCTAGTGTTTTGTATAAACATAATATATTAATATGCATGCACTTTGGTTCTAGGTAACACTTATACAAGAATGAGGGGCTATGATAAAATGTTGCTAGCAATTTTAGGTTACTTTAATGAACTTCAATGCACCAAAGGCACAGAAGAAGACATGCATGCATAAGCCATCGGTGCAACTGTGCAACAAAATGAAAAACTGGAAATCGGTACCTTACTGATTAGGTGATCTGCACCAAGCGTTAGAATAGTGATGCATAAATGTCAGTTGGTTTTGGTTCTCCTAAATCCCATGCCCGGTTTTCTTTGTTCGCTGTATATAAAACTCTTCTCTTATGATGGTTTTATCTTCGACACTGAACAAAATTCGTTACTAAGTTCCTCTTGGTTCAAAAAATCTGTCTATTTCCCATTCAAGGTAGATGCAAAATCTTGGCCAACAGCAGATCTTGTGTGCCTGATCTGCTCCATGCCAAACTGTTTCCTGTTTTCCCTTTTTTTATGGTTTGTATGTTTTCTTCTAGTGCAATGGTAGAAATGTAGAATAGGTAATCAACATTATTGTGTTTGAATTAATGCATCTCATAATTACAAGGTTACACACATTTAAAAGTGCTGACCATGGGAATTAACACGAGGATCAGTTTTTTGGTCTGGGAAATTGAGAGGGAAGAGAAGAAACATTAGGTTGTGATGCACCTAATGGGAGCTGTGCTGATCAATTTTTTGGTCTGAGGAATTGAGAGGGAAGAGAAGAAACATTAGGTTGTGATGCAACTAATGGGAGCTGTGTTGTCTGTCCACGAGGTCTTTATTGTTTGACCTGGACTTGCCTGAATTAATTATCTTGGCATGTTTTCCAGTTGCCGCAGCCATGGCATGCACCACCTTATGGTGGAAATCTGCTGCGTAGAAAATGGCATCAGTGAAGGGACTTTCACCTTTTGAATTATAAACTATGATATGTATAGCGCACTCCATAATTGGCTTGCTGTGTATTGAGCTAATGCCTATAATATCCAGTTACATGGTATGAACAATGCTTTGAGCTACTTTCAAAATGTGCCTGAAAGGTAGATAAAATCATGAACATTCTGATTGTTCTTTATCATGAACATGGTATGATCAATGCTTCGTTCTGCTAATGCCTACTATCATGCTTTGCAGCTCACTTATTATTAGATTGAATTGCTCTTTGTTTTTCAGTTTAGATCTGATTTTTCATTATCAGGTGTTTGTGTTGGTGGTGCTGCCTACTCTCCAAGGTCCTGAAGTTATGAAGGCAAAAATTGTACTACTGGTTATTATTATTTGTCAGTATGTGCCTCGACTGCTCCGCATAATACCACTTTACCTTCAAATCACGAGATCTGCTGGCATACTTACAGAGACAGCATGGGCTGGTGCTGCTTTCAACCTTTAATTTATATGCTTGCCAGTCATGTAAGCCCTCTCAATGAATTATTAGTGAGAATTTATTTTAAAATGTTTCCCTTATCCTCACTATAATCAGTTAAGCAATCACTTATGATTCTGAATTTGTACTGATTGATTTCTTTGGTGTATGCTCCTTATCTCTTTTCTTCGTTGCAAGTCGTAAACCAATAAGCTGTATGTTTTGATTAGTGAGCGTGTAATGAACACTAGCTCATCAAGGTATAAACACTGCCAGAGGATATCTAGGTGGTAAACAGCTGCTTGAAATGAGGGACCAGACTAGATTAAATAATTCGAGTAGAACAAGATTTTAACCTAGTGGCGGAAGCATAGTTTTGCATATTCTGGTGGCATTCTGAATTTTCCTGTCAGGAAATGAATCCGAGAATAATTGTTTTCTAAACATACCCTGCAACTAGAGATGGCTACACTAAAAGATAGTGAAAATATTGGATATCTATTAAAAAAGTGGCATGCATCAACCACATTTACATTTCTGATTGCAAATTCTGGGATTGCTAATTATGGGCATGTTTGGGACTGCTCCACTCCACCAAATTCAGCTCCATGGTGTGGAAGGAGTCCCAAACACCCCAATTCCACCACACTCTGGAGGAGCCACAGCCAACTCCATGAATCTGGGGACCAAATCCACGGATTTGGTGGTTATCCTCAAAGGGTGCTCCAGAAATCTATTTTTCAATATCCTCATGGAGTTGGGGGAAAATTATCCACCAATACATTACACCCCATCTTTTTTGGTAATGTTTCGTTCCCAATCGTCGGTCCTTGTCCTTCACACACCCAGCTTGCAGCCTCTTCCTCCAATGTAACCCTAGACACCACCACCTCGGAAGCCACAAAATGGATCTGTGTTCAGGCTCGCAGCATTCCCAGACTTGCTCCGTGACGACAGGCGTTTGCCTATGGCAGTTGCCGTCGCGGAACTTGAGGTGCTCTGCCACAAGGCCAGGGCACCAACATGCAGCCTGTTCATTTCGTCGTAAACGATCGTGGATTATTTACTGTTGGCTGGTTTGGTGTGAGAGAAAAATACTGTTCCAGCTTATAATAAACGATCGTATACGAGCAAGCGAATAGGCTGATGATGCTTAAAAACTCTGGCACACCGCCAAGCATAGTTGCCTGGAGACGCACATGAATCGGACAGTCAAGCTCACCATTGTCCTGTACTCCTTGATGGATAAGTCTCTGTGGTCTTTGTGGGGCTACAGCAGCATGGTGGTCTTGCTGCCCATGGTGGTCTTGCTGCCCATCAAGGACAACATTCTTGACTGGCTAGGACAGCATCTTAGCATCTAGGACAGCATCTAGGACAACATCTAGGACTAGCATCTAGGACAGCATCTAGGACAACATCTTAGACTAGCATCTTGGCATATGCTTGGCTGGCTAGCAGCCTATAATATGTATCCTCAACCCATCAGGTTGGCATGGCATTTGTGTGAGAAATAAACCAGAAAATTGCCCCAACTCTTAGTGTCATCCTCTCTCGATGAGAGTAAGAATTCTGCTACTACCAAGAGTAAGAATTCAGCGACTAACAAGTGGTATCGAGTCAGTACTATCCTCAGAGCTCTGAGCATCTCCTACTCATCTCCTCTCCCGGCCTCAAGAACAGCCCCGGTTGGGGAGCAAAGAGAGTTCGGCCGCCTCCCCGCCACTCCTCTCCTCTCAAGGCTTCTTCGTCTGGCGCCCCTCTCCCCACGCAATGTGACCCCCAGTGGCGCATGTCCGTCCATGAGGCGATCTCAACGCTTCGGTCGCCGAAGCACGCCTGGCGGCGGCAGGAGGCCGAACTTGCTGCGGCAGAGGAACGCGAAGCGAGCGGCGGCAGAGACCAGCGCGACGGGCAAGAAGGGCGCCGAGGTCGGCAGGCAAGTGAGTGGCAGCAGCCAGAGCGGAGGTGGAAGCGGCGCGGCGGGCGGAAGCGGGTCGACCTCTTCATAGCGGCAAGCATCAAGCACTCCCGTTGCCGACGACAACATACCGACGCGGACCTCGAGCTGGCCGAGGAGGAGGCGGCCATGAAGCTGGCGGCGCGAAGGCGCCCACGCGACGCCCACGAGCGCGCGGCGGCAGCCAGACAGACAGGCGGACGCCGCCGGGCGGCTCTCTGGAGGAGGGCGCGCGCGCGGCGGCAAGAATGGTGGCGGACGGGTCGATGGAGAGCGCGGCCTTCACAGCAGCGGGGTGGCTTCTCCCCGGATCGGTACCGTGGTTACCACGGGCTCCGTGTCGTTGTCGGGACGTCGGCCCCGGTGGTGGGTGGCCTACCCTCACTAAGACCAACTACGCCGAGTGGGCTGCGGTGATGAGGTAAAGCTCCAGTGCGGCATATGTGGGAGGCGATTCGGTATGGCGACGCCGACCACGACCAGAATCAACGCGGCTGGATGCCCTCATCGCTGCAGCCCCGCCCGAGATGCGATTCTCGCTACCAACAAGCGGATCGTCAAGGAGGCTTGGGATGCCATCATTGCAAGACGCGACGGCAGCGATCGCGCCGCAAGTCCACACCGCAGCACTTCGCAAGGAGTGGGAGAACTCATCCTTCAAGCCGTGTGAGGACGTTGATGACTTTGCTCTCCGTCTCAACACTCGCTGCGAAGAAGATGGTGCGATTCGGCGATGACACCTACGGCGAGAGAGAGAGCCGTCGAAAAGCTCTTCCGTTGCGCCCCGAGAAGTACAAGCAGATGGCTCGCCGATCGAGTCCTCGCTGGATCTCTCCACGATGTCGATCGAGAAGGCGATAGGTCGCCTCAAGGTCGTCGACAGCGATGAGCCACAGTCTCTCTTGGGGCCCATCACCACTAGTGGGAAGCACCTTCTCACTCGGAGCATGTCGCACTGCTCGCCAAGGTGACCGGAAGAAGGGGAGCCTTCTTCCGCGACGATCGGCCATAAGCGTGGCAAGCCGCGCAGAGACGCCCAAGCCGGGGCGCAAGGACGTGCCGAGGGTGATGCCCGCGGAGGCACCCAGGGCGGCGCCGTCGGCAAGCACAAGACGACACACCGCCAAGAATGCGGCGCCTTGGCCATTGGGCCAAGGATCGTCGGCAACCACGACGACGCCAGCCCACGTCGCCAAAAAGAGGAGGAGGAGCGGCTCGTTCATGGCACATGCAAGCATCATCGAGCTACCTCCACGCCGCCAAGGTGACCGGAAGAAGGGGAGCCTTCTTCCGCAATGACGACCATAAGCGTGGCAAGCCGCCGCAAGGCGCGCAGAGACGCCAAGCCGGGCGCGAGGACGTGCCGAGGGTGATGCCCATGGAGGCACCTGTGGCGCGCCGCCGCGGCAAGCACAAGACGACACCGCCGCCAGCTGCGCGGCCGCCTTGGCCATTGGGCCAAGGATCGGCGATACCACGACGACGCGCCAGCCCACGTCAGACAAAGTGAGGAGGAGCCGGCTCTGTTTCATGGCACATGCAAGCATCGAAGCTACCTCCGGCGGCACCGGCGCAGCGGCTCTCCTCCACCTTGACGAACCAAAAGCACACGCCCTCCTCGGCGACGGCTGCACCAACGACAAGACTGACGGGTGGTGCCTCGACACCGGCGCCACCCATCACATGACCGGTCGACGGGAGTTCTTCACTGAGCTTGACTCTAGCGTCCGAGGCTCCATCAAGTTTGGGGATGCCTTGGCGTGGAGATCAAGGGCATCGGCTCCGTCATCTTCTTCACTGCTGCGGTGTCCGGTGAGCACAGCCGCTCACCGAGTTCATCGCATCCCGCGTTGAGGAACTCTATCATCGCCTTGGGATAGCTGGATGAGAACGGTTCGCGCGTGGTGGTTGAGGATGGAGTCATGAGGATTTGGGATCGCCGTCGTCGCCTTCTTGCCAAGGTATCCAGAAGCGCAAATCGACTCTACGTCCTTAACGTGCAGGTGGCACAACCCCTCTGTCTCGCTGCTCGTCGGGACGACGAGGCATGGCAGTGGCACGAGCGCTTCGGGCACCTTCACTTCGAGGCCCTGAAGCGGCTTAGTGCCACGGAGATGGTGCGAGGCCTGCCGTGCCTCGACCATGTGGAGCAGCTCTGCGACGTCTGCGTGTTGACGAAGCAGAGGCGACTCCCCTTTCCCCAGCGGGCGAGCTTTCGAGCCAAGGAGAGGCTCGAGCTTGTGCACGGGGACTTGTGTGGCCCGGTGACACCGGCCACACCGGGAGGACGACGCTACTTCCTGCTGCTCGTCGACGACCTCTCCCGCTACATGTGGGTGATGGTCCTCGGCAGCAAGGGAGAGGCTGTGGTTTGTGTTCGGAGAGTTCAGCTCAGAATCATGCGCTGTGTTTTAGCATCGATCATGTAGGTATCTTGTTGAAATGGTTTTTTTCTCTCGAACAAGCAGGAGAGCTGCTCATCATTTCATTAAGAAAAAAAGAAACAAAGGGGAAGAATTCCCCACACACAAACACACTCACACCAGGACACAACAAATCCAGCAAGACCCTAAAAACACCGGTGACAAGAAATAGAAAAATGACCCATCCAAGGCGGTAAGAGCCTTAGCAGCAGCAACAACAACAACATAACCTTTCAGTCCCAAGCAAGTTGGGGTAGGCTAGAGTTGAAACCCACCAAGAGCCCCAAGTCACGGTTCAGCTACTTCAATAGCTGCTTTCCAAGTACTCCTATTCAAACATAGATCTCTAGGTATATCCTAAACTTTCAAATATCTTTTTATTGCCTCCCCCCATGTCAATTTCGGCCTTCCTCTACCTCTCCTCAACAACAAAAAAACATCAATGGCCTCCAGCAAGTGCCTTAGCAAGCAACTCCTGAAGCCCTTTTGCTGCGCAGCACAAAATGCATTCATCGGTGATAGTCTGCAGTAAGACACGGATGCTTGGGCTAGTGCCATTGAAGACACTCATTTCGGTGCTTCCAGATTTCCCAAGAGTGTTATTCATGCATGGTTTGGTGAACTAGAATGTGAAATAGTTTAAT